CTCTACCTGCAGAGCTCAGGTGATCCTTCCACTTCACCCTTCCAAGTAGCTGGAACTACAGGCATGCGCCCCCACACCCAGCTTTTTTGCGGGGGGGATTTATTGTAGAGATGAGTTTCCCAGGCTGTTGTGGAAGCTGTGGGCTCAGGCAATCCTCACCTTCGCCTCCCAAAGTGCTGGGATTACAGGCATGAGCCACTGCACCTGACTGGGGTCCTGGTTTCATTTCAGTCATTTCACATTCTCATCACCAGTATCCTCCCTTCTTTTTATTTTATTTTTTGTTTTGTATTTTTTTTTTTTTTTTTGAGCTGGAGTCTCACACCACAACGCATGGCTGATCCCTCCTTTTTACAATAAAAGTGAAATGAGGATTTATTAAATGGTTTCCAAATCAAACCTTCTCTTGTGTTTCACATAACTCATTTCTAAACAATTTTTAGAATATTTAGTGTTTAAGCAAAAGACAAAACACCTAAAGGTGATATGTGGCAAGGAAGCAAGATCTTCCACATAAAACAGTGCAGGAGAACCACAATACATCAGAGCTGGAACACGAAACCCAATTTCGCGTTAGAAGATTCCCGTCTCACCCAGGAGATGGGGACTGAGGTGAGTGTTATTTCTCAAGTATGCAGCTGCAGACTCTAGTGTTTTGGACATGTTGTGGTAAAACTTCCAGTAAAGTGAGCAAACCTTAACTATGCAGCTCAGTTAATTACTTTTTAAAATTTTTTATTTTATTTTTTATTTTAAATACGTGGGGTATAATTCAGAGTTAGGTATACAAATGTTCATTATGCAGGTACCCTTGTTGATGAGATGTGCAGTTTCCCACTACTGCCAATCCCTTTCTTATGGTATTACATTAGTTGTTCAAGGTTCGCTTCTGAGTGAGAACATGTGATACTAGGTTCTTTGTTTCTGTGATAGATCACTCAGTAGTATAGCCTCTAAGTCCATCCAAGTTGCTGCAAAGTTTATAATTTTGTCCTTTTTTATGGCTGTGTAATATTCTATAATGTATATGCACCACGTTTTTAATCCAATCATCTTTCAATGGGCAGCATGGTTGGCTCCATGTTTTTGCTATTGTAAATAATGCTGCAGTAAACATGCGTGTGCAGGTATATTTTTCATAGAGTGATTTGAGTTCCTCCGGGTATAGCCCTAGTAGGGGGATTACGGGGTCATATAGAAAGCTGATTTTTAGATCTTTCAGGAATCGCCACACTGTTTTTCACAGAGGCTGTACTAGTTTACACTCCCACCAACAGTTCCCTTTTCACTGCATCCTCTCCAGCATCTGTTGTTTCTTGAGATAAGTTCAATGAATTTTTACCTGTGTGTACCTCCACCTAAATGGCCAAGATTTAGGACGTTCCCTGCAGCAGAGACAGTTCCCTGCCCCTTCCCAGTCATATCCCTCAAGGGTGACCATCATTCTGACCTTTCTCCTCATAACTTTGTTTTCTTGAACTTCATATAGATGAACGTGTGCACTGTGTGCTATTTGCCTCCGTTCTCATCATGGCTGCTACCCTCCCATGTGGTCCTGGTAATTCACGAGTGTTGCAGCAATTCGTTGGATTGCCATCTTCTTAAATTCCTTTGCATTTATTTCACCAGAGATTTCAGATCAACCCAAAGGGAAGGGAGCAGGTTTTCTTTGGCAAAATGATCACATCCTAGGGCTGTTTATAGTCAGGAATACCTGGGGACCATAAGATAGAGGTGTACATGTTCAAGAGGTAGAGACCTCCTACAATCTAGCTCATCCATTCTAGATTTTCTTATATTTAAAGATAAACTGCATTTGAATTATTCAGTCCTTTCTAAGTAATCTTTTTCAATGTAAAGAAGTTACTTACATTGCATCCCTTACTTTAAAGATGAATCATACTTCAACCAGCTTCTGGGAGGTTGGCCAGTTTGCACAGAGGAACATCATGCTGGGAACTTGGGGTATGTGGATGGCAGGCCAGGTTTTGTGGCTTAGAACCTGGTGGCCCTGGCTGTCACATGTGAGAATGGTCACCCCTGAACTTTGAGGGACCTTGTGACTCTGTGGCCACACAATTGCATTCTTTGAGGAAACCAAGTTGATGCCTCCTTTAAGTGTGTTTCGACACTGTTTTCTGTATATTTGCTTCTCTCTCAGATGGCAGGTGGAAGAGTACCTATGTGCCAACAACACCCAGCATCCTGACAGAAAAGACAGCACCCAGCGCACCCCATCCCAGACAAGACAGTGTAACATTCCCCTGACAAGACAGTGTTCAGCACCCTGAATCTCAGTGGCAGACACCAGAGCTGCTCAGGTCCTAGAACTTGTGGCAGAAAGAAGGCTCCATCAAGTAGGATGTTTTAAGCTAGAGACCTGTAGCCCTTGGTACGCAGAAGAGGGTGGGCTTGAGGCAGGCGACTGCTGGCCAGAGAGTGAGTCTCAGTCCTGGACAGAACCTTCCTTCTGGAAATTGCCAAGGGTCTATTCACCACTGGCATCAGTTTGGGATTTGCATAATCCTCTGGGTGAGATAGAAAAACAGGAATTAAGCAGGAAAGCTAACCTCAAGGGTCTTAAGGAAGGAAGCAGCTGCATGCCATTTTTCTTAACTGCAATCTCTGCTTCTGTAAACACGCTGTACTGCACCTCATATGAAAATGTCCATAAAAATGTCTGCTTCAATGCTTGTGGAAGTAACCATTCCCATTCCTAAATTTAAAATTGTAAACCCACCAATGGCAAATCCATGTATGTCATAACCACAAAAATCTCTATAAAAGCAACTTGAAACTGAGGGTCAGGGCTCAGATTTTGGGAGGCTACTCCACCTGAGACTTCTGGAATAAACACCTTTGATTCTCCTCTCAGTCTCTGGTGCCTGTTCTGAGTGAGTTGTTCCTGTTCCCGGTGAGTTGCTGCAATTGCTGTTACATGAGCAGAAGGCTGCTTGCTGGCTCCTGAGAGGCCACTGCGCTTCCCAAGGCAGAGAGAATCTCTTGTGTTTTGCCCAGGGGAGGCCTGTTCAGTCAGGTCATCTGTTTCATGGCACCCTTTGGGAGAGCCCCTCCTGTCTGTCTGAGCCTGCCCGGAGCCCTGAGATGTTACACCAGGGCAGCTGCAAGGCCCCTGTGCATGCAGCGCAGTGGAGGTTGTTCCTCCATGGCCATCTCAGATACTGACGACTAGTTTTGGAAAAGTGTTATCACTTGGACCCTTGGCCCACAGGCAAGGTATGGGGGCCTGCAGGCCAGGTGGGTGTGGGGCAGTTCTCGGCAGCTCTAGAAGTCCTGCTGGGCCACAGTGGGCCCTAGGGGAGCTCTGAGGAAGAAGTCTGAGGCTCCCTGGTGCTCCTGATTCAGGCATCTACCTCCCTTTTGGAAAAAACTATCAGGAAAGTTTAGCTTCAATAACAGTACTAACACAAATGAGAGTGTCACTGCCGGAGCAGGAGTCAAGAAAACCCTGAGCTGTGTGGGCTGAGGGGAGTGAGGAAGGCCCTGGGCTTTGTAGGGTGGGGGATAAGGAAGATCCTGGGCTGTGTGGTGTGGGGGGTGAGGAAGACCATGGGCTGTGTGGGGCGGGTGTAGGGATAAGGAAGGCCCTGGACTGTGTAGGGTGGGGGACCTTTGAACCCTCCTCTATAGAAGAAGCCTGGCCCATCCTGGGTTGTCACATCTTGGGTCAGAGTTTGGGAGTTGGGTGAGAAGGAGGAATATGTACTCAGCTGAAATTAAGGTGAAATGGGGAAATCACACCTTTTTAAAAAATCCCAGTACACCTACAGATATAATTTGCAGGCAAGATTCAGG